CCCAAGCGGTGCCTCGTGCTCTTCACTTCCAGCAACCGGCTGCAAAAGACCAGAGATTGAGAACGGAAGAACGACCGGGCTGGAGACTGTGTACAGACTCACAGACATCGTTGTCTTCGAATGTGATTTTGGTTACGCCTTGAAGGGCTCTCCAGAGTCTCAGTGCCAGTTTGGGGGCGTATGGGACCCTCCTGTCCCCATCTGTGAAAAGAGTAAGAGTCCCTGAGGTGGTGGGTGGGAGGTGATTTCTTCTGAACCGCAAGCACCTGGCACGGTGCAACTGCCCCACCTTGGAGGTGAAGGGATCCTAAGGGCCACCCTCCAGGGCTGGAAAGGAAAAACGTGCAATATGTGTCCTCCCATCTTCATAATCCCCATCCAGACCCTTGTTATGTCGGGCTTTCACCTCCTTAAATGAATCCACAGAGAGAGGGAGAGCCAGGCTGCAGTCTGATCTTCTTCACAACCACGGAAAGGACAGAGCAAGCTTGTTAGGGCCACAGATGGAAACTAACCCCTGTAAACAGCTACATAGTGAGAAATGATCATCCCCGATGCCAATAAGCTAGGAAAAAATGAAAGCAGGAAGATGAGTGAGGGTAGGATGGAAACATACTTCACACATTGACATCTCTAGCTGTTTGGGAAAAGTTAATGGGAAAGAAAGAAGTGAAAAGGCAGCGTTACCCTACAGTGGGTGTTTGTGGTACCAGCTGTTCACCAATTATGATTTTTCCTCTTCCTTGTAGTGCCACAGTGTCCTTCCCCTCCAAATATCAAAAATGGCCATCTTGAGAAGAAGGATGTGAAAGTGTTCATCCCTGGAATGTCAGTGAAGTACTACTGTGACCCAGGGTACGTCCTCACTGGGAAAACAACAGTTTCTTGTTTGAAATCTGGAACCTGGAGCATCCCGTATCCCCGCTGTGAAGGTGAGCTGAGAATGCTGGAGAGCATCGTGGGCACACGCTTTCCTCAATTTTGACCTCACAAAACCAAAGGGGGGAACCCCCAGCTCTGGCAGCTGCTTCCCCAGCCCACGCTCTGCTGCTTTGCACTTCCAGTGATCACCTGCAAAAGCCCCAGCATCCAGAACGGAGACGTGGCCAACGGACAGAGCGCTGTGTACCATCCTGGGGCCAACGTCACTTTCCAGTGCCGCCCGGGCTACATGCTGCGGGGCAGCTGGGCAGCCAAGTGCCAGCCCGACGGCCACTGGGCGCCCGCGGTCCCCACCTGCGAGCCAGGTGAGCGCGGGCACCACTGGGTTTAGGAGGAGGATGCTTCGGGCCATCCTTGTGCTGGAGGGTCCCTGGGGGTCGTGCTCTCTGCCTCAGTCACAGCACTTCAGCTGTGACAGTTGTTTGTCACGTTACAATCGCTCCTTCCTTGTGCAAAATCACTCAAACACCGTTCTCTGCTCCTGCCCCGTTAGTGCTGCCATGTCCTCCACCTCCCGTCATCGCCCACGCCACGCACAGCGCGGAGCTCGGGGCAAACTTCACCAGCGGCATGTCCGTCAGCTACAGCTGCCAGCCTGGCTTCTCCCTGCTCGGAGACCCCTCCGTCTCGTGCACAGCCTCCGGGAACTGGAGCCTCCCGTACCCACGCTGCGCAGGTGGGGCTGGCTG